CCAAAGGGAGCGATCTCCAGATTTTAGCCAGTCCCCCACTAGGATCAGTCATCGCTTCAGGACTGCAGCTCTAAATCACCCTTCTGGTTCCTTTAGCCGCAGTAGCTTTCCAGATAACAATGGGTCTCATATTGACCAGCCAGGTACATCACAGTCAGTTTCAGCAAGAGAAGAGCCTGACTTAACCCGGACCCGCAGAGACCATTCGCTAGACCAAAGCAGTTCTCTTGCTAGAACTTCTCGTCGCTCTGAAAATGTTCAACGGCCTTTCCTTTGTCAAAGACGCCAGCCTTTATCTTCTCAGGAACCTGGTAAAAAACAGCAGCAATCTAAGAAAAAAAAAGGCAAGTGTTTTAATTACTTTGGCAATACTGTTATGAATTTAACTCGTACCATATGCTAATTGTGTCTATTTTTTATTTTCTGTAGGTATGAAAGCCGCAGCTATGTGCTTAATTTGTTTGGAAAAGGGTCGGAAAGATCTCTTTTGCACTAATTGTGGGCATACTTTCCACAAATCTTGTCTTGCTGAGTGGGATAAGGTTCAGAAAAAAAGGAAACAACCAGAAAAAATTTGCCCGACGTGTAAAAAAAAATATGGCCGTTTCTTTAAAATCAGGATGTAGGTATTAAAATCAAATTTTCCTGCATACAACAATTGGTGCTTTTTAAGTTCTGTTTGACTTTTTTCTTTGTTTATGAATAATACTTCTTACTTAAAATTGTTTTGTACCTATGTAAGGAGAGGACACCCGATGAACCCTCAATGAAATTCATGCCTTAATCTTTTGTTGGATCAGAGAAGATTTGTGAACCTTGCTTATCTAGTGTGATTACTCTGACTTAAGAAAAGAAGACTAAGGTTCCAATTAAAGACAAGGTATGGCGTTCATTGAGGTAGGCATCGGACCTATAGTCTGATAAGTCCAGTAATTACAGAGTCAATTTTTTACAATTGTGTTATTTTCTCTTGTACTGACACTTTTTGTAATGTTTTAAGACAGGCTCTGAAAACTTAACAGTGTACATTGTATGCCGATATATCAGCAATCATATCAGCACACAATGTACACAGTTGAGTTTTCAGAGCGTTTTGAAGTTTTGTTTCCTTTTTCTTTTATAGAAAAATCAATGCATGACAATTTTTTTCATTTCTGTGACATGTATCACTTTTCTTAATTGTTGTATAACTGATTTTTTATAGATCTGTTTAACTGTGACCTATTTTATTCTTAAGTATTTTGTTCTTGTTCGTTGAATTGTTTAATACCAAGTCACAACTGTGTGATTTGCAAATAAATAGCTGTCAGACTTGGTATGTTCTGGTTTACTTTCCAACTGTCACCCGTCATCATGCACTTGGTGAGCTGTAAGTGTGGGATTCCAGCCCAGTTTAAATGCAAGAAATGAAATTCATCGGCTATAAGAGGATGTAACTGTATGCTGAGCCCTAGTGCTGACATTTAAATTTGCCTTTGTGTAGACTTGCACCCTTCACATTTGTCTGGGGTTCACAATGACTAAGGAACAGTAAGATTTTCACAGGCTGTCCTCATTTAATTGAAGGAACGCCACCACAAGTCGAACACTTTCTCCTTCCCGTAAACTCTGTGTGGATTGTCAGATTGGGAGCCTGGTATTTTGCTAGGTTGCAAAAAATTAGAATTACTTCTTTGTGCTAGTAGTCCTATACGATGCCTCCTAACGACAAAGTTCGATCTTCAACGGCACGGTTACACAAAGTTCGATCTCCAGCGGCACGGTTACACAAAGTTCGATCTGCAGCGCCATGGTTACACAAAGTTCGATCTGCAGCGGCACGGTTACACAAAGTCCGATGTGCAGCGGCACGGTTACACAAAGTTCGAACTCGCATTTTGGGGTGA